CTCGGGAGCGCGGTGGCGGGGCCGGGCTCCGGGCGGAGAAGGTCGCTCCGCCGGGCTGACGAGCGCGGCGGTGGTGCCCACAGGACTGCAGCGTCCGGCGTGCTCGCTGAAAAGTTTTGTTCTCAAGTCGGAAGAAGAGAAATTGTTACTCAGTTTAAGGCAGGTCTAAGATAAAAATAAAACTACGAAAAGAGCCACGCGCCGCTGTCTGTACGGCGGTCCTCCCACCCCGCTCGGTAGAACAGCTAGGAGACTCCTGGCCCCGAAAATCCCGGGAGACCCCTCACGAGTCGGGCTGCTCTGAGGCCAGGCCAGCGGGCCGAGCGGAGCGGGGAGTTTACCGGCTGCATTTAGAGCGATCCACCTCTGGGCCAGCACCTGCCTCCTTCCTGCCCGCGGCGACTCCCCCCACCCCACCCCCACCTCCTCCACGCCCTTCACCCCCGCCTCCTCCAGGAAAGTAAGCCGAGCCCCCCAGGGGCCCCAGGCTTCCAGCCTCTTCTCGGGTACCCCACCCGGCCGGCCGTGTGTTGTGTGGGGGCGGCGAGGTCCTTTCTCATTCGGATAGCTCCTTCCCCGTCCCGCCCGCCACCTCGGGCTCCCCGCTGAGTACCACCCGGCCGGGGCCCCGCCGGAAATCACCGCGGGATCCACAGGGGAGCCCGGCTAGAGAGCATTCTCGCAATCGACCCAAACAAAGTGGGAATGTGGCATATTAAAAAAGATGGAGAAAAGAAGTCCCGCTCCCTTCCCTCGCTGCCCCTGCCCCCTCACCCTCCCTACTTGTCCAATTCCCGCGTCTGGTCCCTCCCCCTTGCACCCCCCCAAATAAAACACATTGAGGAAAACTCAAGACGGAAAGTTTGAGTGAGGCAGTGCACGGAGCGCGCAGGGCACCGATGCCGGGAGGCAGCGTCGCGAAGCTCTGAGGCGCGCCAGCCCAGGTCCCGGCCCCTGCCCCTGTAGAGGGGGAGCCGCCCGAATCCCTAGGAAACCCACCTAGAAAGTTAGCCAGGTTCCTGAGCAACCCGGCTGCCCTGGCACCCACCCCTCTTGTGTACGCATACGCATCCACACCCCTTTCTGGTCTCCATACTTGCCGTGGAAATTCCTTGGGAGAACGGTCGCACTTTTCAGGACACGGAGGGAAGGAGGCGGTGAGTGTGGTGCATGAAAAGTCCCGGGTGCGCAGAGCCGGCGGAGGCAGCGGCGGCGGCGGCGGCGGCAGCGGCAGCAGCAGCTGTAGGCGGCTGGCCCCGGGTTTGTGTTCGCGAGCTGCCTGGGATTGCATGTACAGATCAAGAGACTCGGTTGGTGTGAGAGAAGGAGCAGTGCTGCCTCTCAGCGCTGGCTCTAATCAGTGAATGAGCCTCCACTCTCCCAGGGACTCGGAGACACACACACGCGCGCACGCACACACACACACGCACACATTCTCTCACACTCACACACATACAGGCACTCTGAGCACAGAATACATTAGGGCACTAAGGGACTCTGGGAAATGGAGTCCAGACCCAGGACACTCCTGGAGAACAGACCTGCTGGCCTTCACGAAAGAGCTGGAAAGTCTTGGGGTCTTGAGACACTGTGGAGATTGAAGAGAGCTCCTGCTTTTGTTCGCATTTACCCCCTGAAAGATCTCAGTGCACAGTTTGGTGTTCTTCCTCCTCTCTTGAACCAAAAGTGACCAAGAGGAAATGGGTAAATCTTTAAGACTGACATTCTCTGCAGCTAAATGATTCCCAAACCCTGTCACCCTCATCAGCTCTGCCTTTTTCCAGAAAAATCTTACCTATCGCTTTACTCCTGGAATGCCTCTCTGGGTCTTTGCCTATAATAATGAGATTATACACGAAAATAAATTAACTTGTAGAGGGGATGGAGAGGGCCTAGTTTAGCACCCAGATTTGAGAATAAAAATTTTATTGGTGTTTATATTTACAGTTCTTTCTTTTCAGATAATTTTATATCATCCTTTAATTTGTCATGTACAGAAAGTTAAGTAGGGGAAAGGGATGGAGAACTAACATTCCCTGAGTGTCTTCTGGGAGCTGGGTTGGGGGACTAAATGCCTTTACATAATCTCATTTAATCCTTAGATCAATTCTGGAGATAATATTACCACTATTTTATATATAGAAGAGGAAACTGAGGTTGAAAGGGTTTTGTAATTTGCCCATGGGAACATGGTTAACAAGTCTGGGACAGCAGGTAGTCCAAGCTCCGAAAGTGAAACCCAACCAAAATCTAATCCTGGTTTAAGAAATTACTCCTTTCTTTGGTGGCTCAGTTTCTAAAACCACAGATTTCTCATCTAAAAAAAAAAAGGCAGGAGTGGGTGAGTGGGGAGTACATACTGATAATCCACTCTGCAAAGAACCACATGGGACTACAAACTGTCTGAAAATAGAGCCCTCACAGTCTCATGTTATTATTTATTGGTCCCTTTATTGGTTATTATTTCATGGTCCCTTTTTTCTTACATTTAACAGTAAGGTAGCATCTAAACATTATGTATGCTTAGGAATATGTGTGTATGTGTCCTTCGTATTTAAAATTTTTAGTTAGCAACTCTATTTTGATCAACCTGGAGTTCTATGCTTATGACTATTTCTGTCTCTAATTCACAGGATTCAAGTCGTCTAAGTCTTTATCCATATTTTATCATTCATTCACACAGCAGCATTAATTGCATTAGGCACTATTCTTCCTGCTAGATTATTCCTTCCTGCTGGACTGTAAGCTTCGTGAAGTCAGGAACCACATTTGTTTTATTCAGCATTTTACTTCAGCATCAAACAGTGTCAATCTCTTAGCTGAATGGATAAATTGAGGATATTAAACACAATTTCTGCCTCCAAGGAGCCCGTGATCTAGTAGGTGAGACTAGAGTTAGAAAACAATTTGATGAATGCTATAATTAGGGTGACCATGTAATTTATTGGTCTGAGATGTTTGATAGTGAAAAGGAGCGCTATTAATAATAATTATGCGGGGATGGCAGGGGCAAACAGGGACCATCATGAACCAAGCAGGTTGTATGGTCACTCTAACTACATAAGGTGTTTCGTTCATTCATTTAACAAGAATTTATTGGGAATCTCTTGTGTGGTGTGTTGAAGGAACTACAAGCCACTTGATTGCCCTAGAAATTGAAGTATGAGCATTAACTAGCAAAAGAAAATCAGGAGAAGTAGGACAAATCACAAAAGGCTATGTATACTAATTTAAGGAAAGTGGACTTTATTTTGTTGATGATGACAAACACCAAGAGAGTTTTTTCAGTGGTGTGACTTGGTAGGATTTCTGTTTTAAAAAGAGCATTAGTTACTGGGTGAGCAGGGTGGAGTTTAGACTGGAGGCAAGGACACCAACTAAGAAGTCTGTTACAGGTGATTTAATTAGGATATAATAGGGTCTGAACCAAGGTACTGGAGCTATGGGAATGGAGAAGAGGGGGAAATCTGAAAGGTGGAATTAACAGGGTTTAGCCACTGACTGTAGTAGGTGAAGGCAAAGGACCCTATATAAATCCTAAATAGGATTTTATTATTTATAGGACAAGATGCTGTCAGTACTTTAATGTTCATTAGTAGTAAAAGGCTCCCTCAGATCAGCTTATAGAGTTCCCATAAATCCGGTGCACAATCTTCCAGGTTATATATCATCTGATATAGATAAGAAGCCCTATGTCAATCATCAAGCCAAACATTTAAATTGCTACTGTAAGCAAGGTCTGCACTATGTTGCAAGTACTTAGGAATTTGAAGAAATAATCATTGTGTACAAAGATAGTCTAAATTTAAAAATTAAATGCAAAATATCCCACAAAACCATAGCAAAATCCTAGCATGCAAAATCGAATATGTAATACCTCACTAATTCACAGGTCCCATGTCCAGCAACCTCAGCTATCCAAAACACAATGAACCAGGAAATAAGCAAAAAGGGTCCCAGAATAGCCAAAATAAACATTACAAAGACCATGCACTAAAGTTAACACATTTTACTCCTAGGAGAATTTCTCAAGCCTTCACTCAGAGCCGATTTACTCTTTCTTAGGTACAATTCTAATAAGCTTGATTATTTGGCTTTCCCATTCACAGCTGATTAAGATGGTCAAATTAAAAGGGGGCAGCCATTAAAAAGAATGAGATAGACTTGGATGTCCTGACATGCAGGGATACTTATTGTATATTGTCAAGGGGGAAGAAAAGCCAGTCATAGAACAGGGTGCATAATACAATTTGATATTTGTATAAATACAAGTATACACACACTGACAGAAAATGGCCTGTAGGGACATATATTTAACTGCTAACAATGGTTATGCTTAGAGAGTGGGAGTGTGGATATAGGGAGAGTCGGGGTGGGGAGTCAAGAATGAAGGGAGGACTTTGACTTTTTACTTGGGATGCTCCTGTTGGTGTGTCAGTGACCACCTATTAGTTCTGTAATTTTAATATCCATTAGAAAGCATATAACAGGAGCAAAGGGCAGTGTTGTCAGAGCAAAGACACTGACACCAAGGAGTGGTGACCAAAATATAAGAAGCAAGCACAAGAACTCAAAAACCAGAAGAGAATGGAGTTATTTGATGTGGAGGCAAAAAGCCCTAGCCTATCAGTGACCCCAGAGAGTGTCATGAATTCCAAGCCGGCATAAACCTGGTGCTTTCAGGGATAAGTCATCAAGGAATGTATGCTTAGTATATTTTACTTAAGAGAGGAAGTGTGTAAAAACTTAAAAAAATAAATTCCCACGAAAAGCAGATTTTGATACTTTAGGAAGTAAATTTCAGTTGTCTGGAAAATAGACTTTTGGGGAACACATCCCTCCCTGAAAACGAGAAGGAAAGGAGATATTACTTTCTGTAATATCAGAAGTGATGCAGAGTAAGGGATGGTTCATAAACTCAACATTCAACAAACTTTGATTGT